GCGCGGCCTCATCGCCCAGCTGGTGGCCGGCGACCCCGAGGCCTACTGCGAGGCCGTGCTGGGGAAAACCAACAGGGAGTACTGCGACTGGATCAGGAGGGAGGACACCTGGGGAGGGGCCATCGAGGTGTCCATCCTATCCAAGTTTTACCAGTGTGAGATCTGCGTGGTGGACACGCAGACGGTGAGGATCGACCGCTTCGGGGAGGACGCGGGGTACGCCCGGCGCGTGCTGCTCATCTACGATGGGATCCACTACGACCCCCTGGAGCGCAGGGGCCCCGCCTCGGACGCTCCCCCCCAGACCATTTTCTCCACGGCGGATGACGTGGTGCTTGGCGGACGAGGCCAGGAGGAAGAGGCAGTTCACCGACGTGAATCGCTTCGCCCTGCGGTGCATGGTGTGCCAGAAGGGACTCACGGGACAGGCCGAGGCCAGGGAGCACGCCAAGGAGACTGGACACACCAACTTTGGGGAGGTGTGACGCCTGCGTGAGGATGGGGACATCGACTACCTCGCCGGTCCAGGGTGAAGTCCTGGATCCCCAGATAAGCTGTATGTAAGCATAAGATTCCGTTCACGAAGCTTGAAAAGCAACTTGACTTCCTGGTGGCCAGGAGGTGCAGGATTGTGGTGCTGAGGGGCTCTGCTGGAGGGTTTGGGGTAGGGATCTTCTCACAGGCTGATTTAGGCAGGTGGCACACGCTGGCAGCTAAAGATTCTCACAGAATCTTGGTCCCTGTGACCCAGGTGGATGCAGACCCAGCTTGGTCAACACTAGTTTAAAACCCAGCCCAAGCTGCTGAATTAATCTCTGAATTATGTTCACAGCATAATTGAGTTAATCAGAGACTTTGGGAAGCACACGTTTCCCAAGTAACACAGAAGTATTAATTCCTCTGAGAGAGAGAGACTCTGCACCTACCAGCAGCTCTCCCAGGGGAAACTGCTCGTTTGCTGCCCAAATTTTAAAGGAGAGAGTGTCTCCAAAGCTGCCCTGTGCTACGGTACCATCAGAGGTAGACTGTGTTGTTTGTGTGAAGTCATGGCTTTAGAGAAAGAAACGGCCTCTAAGCTTTAAGATAGCCTTTAAATTAACGAGTAGGTGGTTAAGTGTTGAATAAACTTATTAATCCTCTGTAGATAGATTTTAGTTGCTTGAAAAATAACCATCAACCCCCAGGTGTTTACACTGCATCAGGACATAGGCATGTTTCTTGAAATACTTTGGATTCTTCTTCATAATAGTATCTGAAATCCTGGCAAGAGGGGAAATAGGTTAGTTAGGCAAGCAAGTTAATTTGGAGAGATGCCAATTAGGTGGGAGCAGACGTGACTCCAGCAGAGCCAACCTCACGGCCACGGTGTTATTGAGCTGGACCAGATTCCAGATACTGTCAAGGAGCACTTTACAGTTCAGTTCTCACTCTTGGCTGATAAAAAGCCTTTCCTTTCCAGAGGGACAGAGTGCTCACCCGGGAGGGAAGCTTGAAGTTCCTTCATCTGCATCCTGCCTTAACGTGCTCGGCGGGTCAGCGATGACTCTTCGGTAGCAAGACTTTAATTCTGATCATGAAGGGTGGGGCTCAATTTTCAGGACAAAATAAGCTGCGTAAGCTGCCCTGCTCCTCGTGCTGCTGGCAGTCAGGGCAGCTGGAATTGGAGTCCTGCCCCACAGCGGGGTTGTGGGGCTTTGCAGTCAGTGCTTTTGAAGCCTTTTAAAAGGTGCTGTAGAGGTGAACAGGACTGAAGGGGATTTTTTTTTTTTTTTTTAATTTGTTTCAAATGCCTGCCACACGTGTTGGATTGAATATTTTTAGCCTGCTATTCTTCTGTTACTGTTTTGAGTTCCCTTCCTTGAGCTGTTACAAACAGGGAGCAAGAACTTCAGACTGAGGCAGAAATAAACCCACTTTCCAGGTGGAACCTAGGGTCTGGTTTTTAAAGCCTCTGTTTGGGCAGGTGTTGGCTGAGCTCCTGCTGCAGCAGAAAAGTGTCTTTTCTATAGAAAGCATTTTTCACTGGAGTTCTCAGCACAGGCTCCCAGTTGGCCCTGGAAATACAGGAGGGTCTTGCTGAGGAAGGGACCTAATTCCATAAGTGCTTTGCCAGATTGAGGCATGAATAATTAAGTGTAAAGAACAGAATCACCAAGAGCACTACGGACCAGGGGGGTTTAATTCAGTATTAAAATACACACTAGCACTGTTGGGAGTTCCCTGTGGAGAGCCACTCAGCTCCCAGCCTTCAACCCCTCCTTGCTTTTAGCCTACAGAAGGGAAAAAAAAAACCAAATCCCAACCCAACATTAAAACCAACCCTCTTACAAAGCTGAAGAAATCACCTGACAGTTCAAGGGAACTTGAAGATTACACTGTGCTATAACTACTTGAGGTGAAATACTGTCCAGGAGTGAGACCCCAGGGAAACGCCTCGACGAGGAGCTGAGCCTCACTGTTTGCCAGCTGCAAAATGAGCATAAATCCTACCTCAGAGAGGGGTATGAGGCAGCTGCCTTTGGGTGCCTGGAGCAGGAGTGGAAGATGCATATTTATTGCCTGCCATGTTTGCAAACTCCTTGACTTTGGGGAGAGAGGCTTCGACTTTGGCTCGGTATCCTGGGTGGATTTCTGAACGTCTGTAAAACCTTATTATTATTATTATTTTTTTTTTGGTATCCCTCAGTTGCTGTGTTTTTAAAACTGGCTTTATTTAATCTGGAGTGTTTAGCTTTGCTCTCTCATGTCTGCCCTGGAAATGTGCTAGCAGAGAGCCCGTTCCACGTGGGGGAGGCCTGTCGGGGTCACTGCTCGGTGTTTTCTTTTGCTGCCTAGAAAATAAAATCTCTTTGATTAAAAAAAAAAAAAGATGTTGACTGAGCTGCTGCCCTTCCTCTTTGTGAGAGCTGATCCTGCTACACACCGACAGATTCTTCCAAAGAAGAAGTGACCTGTGGTACTGACCCTGAGCTGGAAAACCTCCTGTCATTCCCTCAACTCTCCCAAACAGTACCCACGTTATTTAAAATGTAAGAAATGGAGACATTTGAAGTACAAGTCCCTTTTTTAAATGGGAAAGGCTTTTTTTAGTATCTTTTTACCAGTATTTGCCTGCCCTTAATGATACACCTATGGGAGTATCATGAAAATGGGATCCTGGTACTAGGACATTAGAACAGGGTGGTGTGGGACAGGCTGAGGCACAGGCAGGGAAGTGTCACCAGTCCAGACAGGCTGTTCAATTCAGGTTATTCCCTTACCATTCCTCCTATCCCTGTAGAAATTTAAAATAAATATTCAATTTCTTGCTGAAAACTTCAGCAAAATGGGCCCTGGAAACTGAAATTGTTGCCTCAGAGATGTGCTTTCTAAAAGCTGGGGGGCTGGTGTTGCTTTCCCAAGCTGTGCAGTTCTGGATACTCAACTAAATCACAAAATTTGGGTTCCTGGTGCTGGTTAGGCTGTTGAACTAGCACTAAATTCTTTCTTTAATTAAAGAAGAGCCACACACACTCATCAGGTGGCCTTTCACAAACACGTTGTGTGGAGACACAACATGTCTCGACCTCATTCCCCTTTTCCCTGGGCTCCAAGAGTGTCGTGGTGAGAGGGACGTGGCCACTCAACCTGCTCAGGATGAAGCTTCTTCATTTTCAACTCATTCCACAATAATATATCTATCTTTTTAACTTAAAATATTTCCCCTGTGCTATTGGAGTCAGGTATCAAGAGGAACAACTGCAGAGTTTAACATACCTTAAAGATTTATATAGTTAAACACCTAAAAATCCTGAAGTAGATCATGAGTTTGTTTAGGTTGGAAAAGACCTTTAAGATCATCGAGTCCAATCTTAAGGAAGATTTTGGG